AGTTCGTAAGTTTAATCAAGGTTATTCATAAGCGTTCTTATGTCGAATTAAGATCATTCGATAGAGCTTGAATTTTATTGATTGTGTACGTCTAGTTTACTTCATTCGATAGAGTTTGTATGTCTAATAAAGAACATTCACTAAAGATTATATGTATGTCGATTTTATGCATTATTTTTTTTATCAAATAAAATAGTTCTCGGCATGGTATGCCCAAAGTAGATTATAAAATGGCCTAAACATGTTAATTAATATATTGAGATGTCGAAATTTTTGTTCCGACTTGGTTTTTTAAGAGAAAGCTGTATCGAAGAATTTGTTTTGATCAACTTTCCTTTTTACAAGCGTTTTATGACACTCACTTCCTCTGTCTGTCTGTCTAGATCGAAACGCCGGAGCGAAAATTCGGACACTTCTAACTGACAGATACGGTTCGTAATTGGTACGTGGGTCAAGACATGAAGACAATGCATTATGACATTAAATTTGACTTAATTGGATGCCTAATTATTCTTTTCATTTGACCAAGGACTTGAACCCTTAATTACCAGTATGAGTTAAATCTGCCTTTATTTTTGTTGACAAAGTGTCTCGTCAGCACTTATTTTCTTTACATACATAAGCACTTACATATAAGCAATTCCTCTGTACTGCTATCTATTTCAACCAATCATAATTTACTTCCTTAACTGTCAGCGATCAGAGCTATCAATACATACGCACGAAGATCTATTCAGTATATGTTACGCTTTCAACGCGTATAATTGACCAATGTTGTATCGTTCATTCAATCAAAAAATCAGCTCAGAGCTAATTGAAATTATTTTCTTTCTTACGCAGCGAAGGCGGTGCATTGAGTTCATAGTGAAATTCAACTATTCAATAGACTGACGTTTTAATAGGATATTAATACATTAAACTTTCAGAGGCCCAGGAAAGACAGCTAGATTTTCATACGTTGAAAAGAAACTAGAATACGTCAGATCGAAATAAATAAAGGCAATCTTTGTTAAAATGTTATATGTTGAATAATGTAATAATTGATCCGGTATACACAGTCTATAGTAAATATTACATTATAGGATCGTTGAAAGTTTGGTTTAAATGTAAATAAAAGTCAAAAGCAAGTTCTTTAATTTTATGCGCCTGTTTATTTTGTAAATTAACCCAACGACCTCACTACGATAAACTGTTAAAACACACAAATAAAATATCTATTTACATTTGTAAAAAAGTTTACTGGCCCTTTAAAAAATTATCCTGCTCCCTATTATAATGGACAACTGTTTACAGCTCATTCACATATGTGTGTTCAGTCAGTAGCGTAGCGAGGGGGGGGGGGGCGGGGGGACATATATATATATATATATATATATATATATATATATATATATATATATATATATATATATATTGTTTATATCAGGGGTCTCCAAACTACGGCCCGCGAGGTCCTCTCATCCGGCCCTCGGAGACCTTTTTGTCCACAGAAAAAAATGTTTGTTGTATGTGGCTGAGGAAAAATGCCACCCCAATGAGATGCCTGGAAAAAACTCTGACCCCCGAAGTTATATTTGATAGTTAATGCGGCCCTCGGGCTGAAAAGTTTGGAGACCCCTGGTTTAGATTGATACAATTTTTGTTTTGTCGGCCAACATTGTTTGGGCTTTTTCTTATTTCTTCAGAGTGCTACTTTCAATGTATTTTACATCATAGCGAAGTAATGACATACTGATAGTAATTATATATATATATATATATATATATATATATATATATATATATATATATATATATATATATAATACACGTATATAGAACGTATTAAAAATTCGGCGCCTTTTTTTACTTTCTCGTATATACGTAGTATAGAGAAAGTATTGTAATCGTGCACCTCACTGATACGTAAAAAACATAATTTTGCTATCTTGTCCGTATGTCTGTGTGTCTGTGTCTGTGTGTGTGTGTGTAAACACGATTACTTGAGTACCGTTACAGCTAGGTTGATGAAATGTCATATATAAGTATTTTATCAAAATCGTAGATCCGTATCAACTTTTGAGCGATTTCCGATAACCGGAAGTGGTACTTTTTCTACTTTGAATTTTTCAAAAGCCTATAACTTGAGTACTATTTCAGATAGATAAATGAAATTTCACATGTAAGTAAAAGATCTAACTCTCTACCTTCTGTTAAATTTCCGTTGACGGGAAGTACTAATTTACGCTATTTCCGATTTCTCAAAAACGCATCTAAATTTACAAAGTACTAATAATATTGCTTTTTTCTATGAGATTCTATTTTATTTTAAAAAGCTTATGTATTTAAAATGGATTAAAAATCATAACTATATCCCGAGTTCCCATCCCCTGTTGTTTTATATAAGAATATTCGAGAAAGTTTAGGGGAGATCACTCCCGGTTTTATTTGCTCTTATCGCTCCCCCTACAACGAAAACCTGAATACGCCTCTGGTTTTAAGGTATATATATATATATATATATATATATATATATATATATATATATATATATATATATATATATATATATATATATATATATATATATATATATATATATATATATATATATATATATATAAATATATGTACGTATGTATGTATGTATGTATGTATGTATGCATGCATGTATGTATGTATGTATGTATGTATATATGTATGTATGTATGTATGTATGTATGTATGCATGCATGCATGCATGTATGTATGTATGTATGTATGTATGTATGTATGTATGTATGTATGTATGTATGTATGTATGTATGTATGTATGTATGTATGTATGTATGTATGTATGTATGTATGTATATATGTATATATGTATATATATATGTATATATGTATATATGTATATATGTATATATGTATATATGTATATATATATATATATATATATATATATATATATATATATATATATATATATATATATATATATATATATATATATATATATATATATATATATATATGGTAATGACATACGGATAGTAATTATATATATATATATATATATATATATATATATATATATATATATATATATATATATATATATATATATATATATATATATATATATATAGATAATACAGGCCCTACATTGGCATTTGAGGTAAACGTTATTTCTAAATGGTCGTGACTTATGTGCTCATTAAGCTTTGTACGCCATCCGCTCCCCCGTGTTTAGAATTTATAACATTTTCAATTAAATGTCCCTTTGTAAATATAGACTTTTTACTTCGCCTTGAGTCGAAACTTTTAATAGAATTTTCTGCAGGCCCTAATTCTTTAAAATTTGATACGTATGCCATAGATTCGATGGTAATGTAATGTGGCATAAAATTAGACTTTTTTTAAGATGTTTGACATGTTGTTTTAAATTGGTTAAAAATAGCTATATTATTATAAAGTACTAACTTTCCGAGCTTAAACACACATTGTGTGCATTAATTTGAAGAGCAATTCTTTAGGCCATGCGATTAGATTCATTTATAAATGTTCAGTTACGGTATAGTACCGTATAGCATACCATCTAACTTTTTCTTTGAGCTATTTAAAAAGTGGCGCATTATTATGTATTTAAAAAAAGTCCTTTTATTCATTTTTCCATAAATATAGCCTATACAAGCTTGTTATCAAAATAATTTTTTTTCATGTAAAATTACCTTTCTGCCAGTTTCTGAAAATGTATGAGCATAATATGCGTGTCGTGTAAATAAGTTTTATGTGTAAGTTTAATTTCTTTAATTAGATAAATAAAAATCCAGAAACAGAAGAAACAATTATTAAGAAATTCTGTTAAAAATACGATTTTTATTTCTTTAAGAGCTACTGATGTACAGGTTTTAAAGACAAGTTTTTGTAGAAGTTTAATAAACGTATTTAAGGCAATCACTGTTTGATATGTACAAAATCTACAAAATATTGTAATTGTGCTTAAATAAAACAGTCTAAATACCTAAAGGAAATGTGTTGTATCTTTAGATGTGAGTACTTCTTTTTATTTACAATATTAAGCTTTTGATTTGAATTTGTATTACATTTTTTTACAAGTTTTTCCCCTTTATTTTACTACTTTGTTTAAAAATGAAAGATTTTATTTGCTTGATTAAATTGGCTTTTGGAATTAAATGTTTTCACATGCTAAAAAGATATTTTTTAAACACATAATAATAATTTTCTTTTTTACCCTGATAAAGTTAAAATTTTTACATTCAAATAATTATGTTGATATAAACATTTATACATGTTACAACATGTTCATGGTTAAACATTAATGTAAATGACAAGTTAAAGAAACAAATTTGCTATTATATTTTGAATTTCAGTTTTGCAGCAATCACTGGAATTTACAAAAGTTTGAAAAATCATCATTTCCAAATCTAATTTAAAATAATTGTTTGGACTAAAGCATGCAGTACTATGTGTTTACATTAAAAGTATTTTTGTCTTAAGCCTGATCAGTAGAATATATATTTTTTATGAAGTAAAAATATGGAATTCCATAGAGAATCCTTTCAAAAGGAAAATGAAAACACTTGTACAATTAAGTAACTTCACTAATTATTTTATGTTAATAAAAAACTATTTTATTATTTATTTTCAATGTGTATTATATAGCTAACAGTTATTTTATTTGAAAAATATAGTTGAGCCTATTTATATGATTAAATATTTTACAGAATGAAAATATTTTTAAAAATCTATGTTGAAAAAATTGTAAAAGATTATTACTCTTTACAATCCATGTTTCTGCATTTTTAAGTTTAATAACAAAGCAAGTAGTTAATTCAATTAAAACAAGCATGTTTGAAGATAGTAATCTAATGATATTTTTTTTGGAAGTTTAAAGATCAAAAAATATATTTATATTGTACTGAAATTGCAAAAGATAAAAAATGTAATTAAGTTATTTTAGTAAATTAAAAATATATTAATTTTTTTCAAAAACTTTATTTAAATGGTAATTACATAAAATCAACTGGTATATTCTGAAAAGTTGTAATAAAAATAATATAGTTAAATAAATATTTTATTTTTTCTAGACATTTTTTTGCAGCAATAGTAAATTACCAGCCCTGATACAATTAAGATAATCGTTGCAGCTGGTAATCCAATGGAAAGTCCTAGAAGGGTCTGTAGGTAACCTGTATTGATTTTAAAAGAGCATACATACTTATTATAATAAGATACACATACATAAAACATTATCATACTTATGGAAGCCATTTTGTTTTATTTTTATATAGGTGATCAGAAGTTTATTGTATTTACAGTTTGCTAGTTTAAAAATGAATGATGTAAATTCAAAATTCACTAGTAGCTATGTATAATTTATGTAAACCAGATGAATCATCTAATATCCTAATATTAGACAATATAAAATAGCTGACTGTTAACCATATGAGTGATTTAATAGATCTATAATCTGATTTTACTAATTAAACACTAAATTAAATTAAGATCTATTAAGTCATTAAGAATAAGTTTGCTAACCAACAAAATTATTATCAATAGCAAGCTAAAAATAACTGTGATAGAAATAGTTTAAAGTATATAACTTCTCAAACAATATAAAATTGAAAAATAAACATACTTGATTCTTCAACTCTGAAAATATATGAGAAAAAGAAAACAGTTAAAAACAAGAAATTTAAGAAAACAAATGACTAATCGACAAATAATTGTGTCTGAGTTATTAAAAACTTAAAACTATTTATTTCTCTATATGTGGTAAAATATTTTCATAAAAATATAAGCTGGTAACCCTAGTAACTTACCGGCAAACAGTGGAACCATTTTCAATTGAGCAGCGTTCATTCCCCTTGCATGGATTTGTTCGATTTCGTAGTTCACAAGTGGATGCATAGACTAAAAAAAAAGGTTTTGTGTTGACAAATTTTTAATTGTTCAAGCCTTTCTAGTTTTAAAGCATATTGAAATGCATAACATACTTCTCCTTTTTGTGTTATATATGTGCATGATCCTTGTAATAATTTATTTGATTGTTATGATACTTTACATCACATAGTAAATGTCAGTTCTTAAATGTATTGCACATTCTATGTCTTGACAATGGCAAGACATGAAGTTTATTATCACTATTCGACACCACAATTTTCACCAATAGGCCAGGCTCCACTACAATATGAGCATTGAATAACAAAGTTTCCATCCTTTGATACTTTGTAAATTCAAGTTATGGGATGAATATCTACAAGTAATTAATTAAATTGTATCTCTGGTCTTACCTGGATTAGATTCCACAGTGATATCTATGATAACAGAAGACTTATTGTTCAAGTTACTGACTTCACCAATAGCTAACTGTAGAGAAATTTTCAGTGCTTTTTCTGGGTTGGTTTCAAGGACTTTGTCAATTAATGCAGCGAGGTCTGTGATGAGACTTCCCTTTCTTCAAGAAGAGAAAATGTTACAGATGAATTCTAATAGAATGAATACTATTTGAGATATGAAGTTAAATAGAAAAGGTTTTAAAGGTTTAAAGCGAGACATTTTAAAAGGACCCATAGAAAATTAAAAGCTATTTAAGGAGGAGAAAAGTCAAATGCACAAGATAAAATTGAATAGAAATATTAATTAACGCATTTTATATGTGTGCTTAAGCAATCAACAGGTATAAATACAGTATTTCTTTTCTAAGTGGGATGGCGTGGTCTAGCAGTAGAGCGCCAGTACAGCACAGTATTTCTTTGCTAAGTAGAGTGTCCCTGAGTCCACTGATAGGGAAAGTAAAGGATGTTAAGCATATATTGACCACCCTATCCCTTTTACATGCCAAGGTCATAGAACCAGGTGAACTCTACTGGACTGTGAAGTTTGAAAAGGCACTTTACTACGCTACTATTTCTTTGCTAAACTCTTACCTCATTTTCTTTACTTTAACATCAAGTATAGCCAAGCCAGTTGCATGAAGTCTCTTGAACATCTAATGAATAAATGCAAATGTGTTTGCAAATTCACAATATGAGCAAATACTTGGGAAAATAAATTAGAAAAAACAGACTAATACAACATTAACATATTTTTAGACAGTTCAGAATTCTTTTTTTTTCCTGCTTTATATAATATTAGTAAAACAAATTTTAAAAAATTATGAAAATTTTAGGCCTATTAAATGTTAACAATTGTTTTTCCAATTAGTAGTTTTTATACTTTCAATGTTCTCTTCTTGATATTGCCTAGTTTGCATTTGTAAATATATAAATAGAGGTTAAAAGGGAAATAGCCAAAATAAATTCTATATTTTTATATATCGTGTTTCATTAAAACAAAGAGGCAAGAAGCGCCCTTAATTCATTTTCTTGGCACTATAACTTCATATATTGTGAATTCTAAGATTGATAAATAGTTATAACTCTATATGAAGCTTTCTCAATAAATTTATTTGGGAAATTAGTGGCGTACTTTTTTTTTAATGCCACTTCTTCATTTAAATTTGCAAAAATTAAAACACTGCTTTTGTTTTTTTTAAAACTTAGATGAAACAAATTATTATATCTCTGCAGACTCATAGATTTCAGTTTTAAAAACTTCTTTAACTGGATTTCTCAAAACATCTTTGTTAGAAAAAAGGGTAATAGAAAGTTATTTAAAACATAAATGTAAGCATACATGTGATTCCACTTCTTGCTTTAATGTTTTGTAGTCTGTGCTGTTAACATCTTCTAGTTCAAGTTCAGACACATCCATTTGAAATGTGATTTGAACATTATGAGTTGAAGTTCCTACCAAAAAAAACAATGTGTCAAAAAGCATTTAATTTTTTAAAAATAGCTTAATCACTTACAGACAAAATTAAATAATTATAATACAGTTTTGTCATGTAAATACAAATGATTGTATTTTTTTTATTTAAACCGAAAACACAAAAAAATGTCTAAAAAATCATTCAATTAAAAGTAGCTCAAACAACTACATAAAATAACATATTGTAATGCAATTTTATTAATTAAACAAAACCAGCATGTGTATCTGAATTTATAATTACAGACTCAAAAATAAAATTTTGATTCTGCACAAGAAAAATATATTTGTGTACATAAGAGCAATATAAATAAATGAAACTACCATGACACTCGGAAGCGTTTTGACTGCTAACCACATAGCCATCATTGCATGAACATGTATAGCTGCCAACAGTGTTTGTGCAATTCTGTTGACAGTTTGATGTAGACAAGGCACACTCGTCTGTGTCTGTTGTAAAAAGTGAAAATAACATTTGCTTTTGCTTTTGGTTAACTGACCATTACTGACACAATAAAACTGACATTTTAATTGCATATTTTGTAATATTTATCAAGTCTAATGGTACAGAGGAAAAATGTCGGAAAACTCCTTAACTTTAATTTTAATTAAGAGCTATTTAAAACAATAAATAAATGCCTTAATTATACTTCATTTTTCCCATTTGTGGCCAAGACTAATGAGATGGATAAAGTAGAGTTCATCTGTTTCAGTGACCTTATCATATGCCGGTATAGTGCGGTCAGCACTATGACCAGTGGCGTTTACTTTCCAGCACAAATTTCAGACACCCATCAGAGCTGAGTGAACTCAGGGTGGACATCACACAGCGTGACCTTTAACACCAACCTTTGCATGTGAGCCCATCTACATCGAGTGACCAACCAGTTGTACAAGAACATGTGTAACTCCCTTCAGTGTTGGTACAGTTCTGGTCACATTTTGATGTTTTTGTCAGGCATTCATCTTCATCTGCAAAAAGCACATTACATGCAATAGGTGCTAGTTTTTTTTTTTTTTTTACTCTTTTATTAATTAGGTGCAATATTAACTCTGTAATTATGTTTTATTAAATCTTTATTATTTGTTATAAATTTTACTGCTACTATAATTGTCATATTAAGAAAATGTAACTAATGTAAAAGTAAAATGAGTAAAATGTATGCAGTAATTAAACCAATAAAAGAGAAAATACTAGTATTCAAAAATATTGTTTTACAGAATCAGCAATAATAGGAATACTCATAAAATAAACTGCTCAAACAATCATTTCTAAATATCTAAATATTAGAGAAACTATGTCTTCATACAATAAAAAGATATCTTAAAGCATGACTCTAAAATTTAAAGTTGTAAAGAATTGTATAAATAGGAACCTACCTTGACATTCTGAAGCATTCTGGCTGCTAACAGCATAGCCATCATAACAGGAACATGTATAGCTGCCAACATTGTTTGTACATTTCTGTTGACAGTTTGATGTAGACAGGACACACTCATCAACATCTGCAGTAGAAAATATAAATCAGATTTGATGTAGCTTTAGATAAATTGATTTTAACACAAAATCATGTCTTTAATTGCCAAGTTCAAGTGAACAGGAGACTTCAAATCTGTCTTATGGATCCTCAAATTTTATATTTAAACATTATACTGGGAAGGCATTTCAAAGCAATTATTGGCTTCCTTGTACCTTGCCCTAACAATGCGACCAGCCAAAACAATTTTTTTCATCATCTTCTTAACTTTATTGTTAGAGTAAATGTCCTCCAGGAACCTCCAGGGAAAGTAGAAGAGAGGGCGCCCAAGACAGACCTGGAGGCGGAGTCTTCTTGAAAAACTGAAGCCAACAGGGATGTCTTGAGAGATGACAAAATTAATAGCCGGGGATCGGAAGAAATGGAAGGAAATGGTTGAGGCCCTATGTTCCATAAGGAGCAAAGAGGACTAAGTCAAGTAAGTCAAATGTCCTCCAACATTATAATTTAGTACTATTTGTTAACTTGTAATGTATCATCTGGATTGTTGACTCCAATTTTGGAATCCCTATTTGTATTTTAATATACTACTTTACTTAATTGCGAAATATTTTTATCTCATATTTTATTTTACAAAAGCTTAGTTAAAAATTAGTCAAATAAAATTTTGATATGCTATGAAATTGCTATATCAGCATTAGGATACATGCCCAACTATATTTCTTAAAAATACTAGCTAAAAAAAAATTTCCCTAACATTATCATAACAAAAAAACATTATAATAAAACTTAAATCAATACCCCAAACCTTGCACCTATGAATGTTAATAACAGGAAAAAGATATTATGAAACAGGCTATTGTTATGTATCATTAACATTTATTTGAGCAGGTTATTTTACATTTCTAGACAGCATTAAACTTGCTCAAAAGCACTTACCTTTGCATGTGAGACCATTTGCGTCTAGCGACCAACCAGGTGTACAAGAACATGTGTAGCTCCCTTCAGTATTGGTGCAGTTCTGGTCACATTTTGATGTTCCTGTCAAGCATTCATCTATATCTGCAAATAGTGCATTACAAAATAGGTGTTATTTTTAAATTTTATACAGGTGTTTTATTAATTAAGTGCTGAATGAAACAGCAACTGCTTTCATTTTATCTAAAATACAACATATTTAAAAGAAAACATGTATTATTTTTCTTTAGAAATTTATACTGCTAGCAAAATAGCCTCTTAGTTAACTGTTGTATCAAGAGTTGAAAATTAAAGACATTTTATAATAAACTGAAACACTTTCATTTAAAACTAAAGAAAATATTTAAAAAGAAAGTTTTTTTTTTAAAATTTGCAATGTAATTGTAAGGAATATTTTTGTACTTTAAGTGAGATAATGTTTTAGATTTCAAAAGAGAAAAAAATGAATATTTGTAGCAGAGCTACAATTTTATTTCAAGGAGCATCAAATGTTAGCTGAGCTGTAAAAAAAAAATGCTTGTTTTTAACCTGAGCACGTGTTGTTGTTTGAGTTGTAAGTGAAGCCAGGGAAACATGAGCAGTTGAATCCACCAGCAGTGTTGTTGCATTGTTGACTGCAGTTGTTAGTTGAAGGACTCAGACATTCATCTATGTCTGAAACAACATACAGCTCATCAATAATATTGAATAACTATATATAGATAATCTATAGATAATGATAATAGATAAATATAATAAGAGAGAAACATGTAAGTTCCTGCACTTTAAAAAATAACCCACCAAACTATAAATTTGTTCTCAAAGCTAAAATATATTTTAAAATATTAAATAAAAATGTTAGTAAAATAAAAATGACCTATGTTTTATTATAGTGGATTCCTGTACTTAAAAAAATATCATGCTCAAACTATGATCTCAAATCTAAAAATATTAAATAAAAATGTTAGAATAATAAAGATTACATATTTTTTATTATAGTGGATTTACTATGGAAATTATAGTGGAATGGATTATAGTGGAAAAACACACCTGCACAAATGTCTCCGGTTCTTGAATAGCCTGATTGACACTCACAGGTAGCATTTCCAGGTAAATTGACACAAACTTCGGTGCTTGAATTACACACCAAATCCCCAGTGACACATTCATTAATGTCAACATTACACAGCGCTCCTGGTTAAAGCAAATACAATTTTAATTATCAAAATGGATACATGTCTTCAATCTATTCCTCAAAATCAAATTGTTGATACTGCTTTTAGTAGTTTTGTACTTGGCAGAAAAAAGAAGGAGTACAATGCAGGTGTTTAGAAAAGTTGAGAGAATATATTGCATATACTAATATCAATTGTAGTAATTTGAATTTAACTCAAAAATCAGTAAGACTGACCTCAATAAAATAAACCCACTCCTAAAACTGCAGCTGTCTACTTCTACACTGAACAAACTTCTATAAAAGATGCCCTCATCTGTAAGTAAGACCCACCCTTTAAATCTCTATCGAGATTCCACCTCTAAATACAATACCTAATTATTTATTCTGTTACCGCCTCAATACACAGCTTACCTCTACATACAAAACCCAAATTTTTAAACAAATCCCACCTCTTGTATCCAGCGGCACCACTATGGCCATACTCATCTCTATACATAACCCACCTCTATTTTCAAACCCACCTCTATGTCATCCACATCTACGTCCAGAACCAACTCTATACATAACCCACTCCTATACATAACCCACCTCTATATACAAATCCCAACTCTGTGTACAGAACACACCTCTATATCCAGAATCACCTCTATAAATAACCCACCTCTATATCCATAACCCACTTCTAAATCCAATACCCACCTCTGTATCAAATACCCACCTGTATAACCAGACTTGCAAACACAACCAGTAGCTGCATCACAGTGATCTGACCCTGAACTACAGCTGCATGTTTGGTTACAGTTAAATCCCCATGTCCCCCCACTGCAAGCTGAAAAGTAGTAATTTCTGATTATACTAAACTGCAATTAAGAATTTAATGATGATACTATAAAGCCATCACACATAAACTGATTACAGAAAGAGAATTTAGTTGAAGGCTATTCCAAAGACCACATAAAGATTTCATGATTTGTTTTTCATTATTTAAAGAGTAGTTTAATATTAAATCAATTTTATTTTATACTGAATACAAATGTTTTTATACTAATATAAGTGCTCTCAATTTAATTACTGCAACCAAATTGATGTCAAATATTGTAATGGCTATCCACTAAAACTTTTCTGGAGTCATTGTTATGATAGATTATAAATATATATCATGATGTCTCCACCTCTCCCCCCTTCTACCCCACAGGTAACGGTACACACCTGGACCTTAGTCCAGCGGTATTGTAAGGCTGACCGGGCCTCAACCCCAGACTGCGGTCACGAGGGCGGAGCCTGAGTCATGTGACCTGTAGGGTAGGGACGCCACAGCCCGGTCACTCTACCTTCTCCACTCTTCGGAGCTACACGTTTTTTTGGTGCTAAGGCACTTGCCATCATAAAATCATACTCATTTTGGTTCTATGGCACTTGTTCTCCACTGAGAAATTAAACGTAGGTTTGGCAACGTGTTTAGAGGATTGTGTGGCTTCATTGGAAGGTAATTAACACTTACTTTTATTAGCTGTACTGTTATAATATTAATTAATAAGTATGGATTAGTATAAAACAATGTATAAATGAGAAGGATATTTTTTAGTAATGTTTATGGTAGGCCTTGTGTAAAGCTAATGTAAATGTATTATCTTTGTAACAATTGTAAAATTGTATGTGTCTGAAGTCTTAATGAATGTGTATATCACAAAGATGTTAGGAAGTTTGTCAAATATATTTTACAGCCGGCCACTTGGGGCTAAAGCTTAGACAATACAGAGGTCTGTGTGTGAGCAAGTGTGACCACGCCGCCCTGAAAACCAGTCACCCATTCCAGGCTAATCTAAGTTCTAATGTGCTCCTATGTCAATTATTCTATCATATATGTAGTTGACAACAACAATAAACTTGTACATGAAAATGTACTGACCAATACAGGTGCGTCCATCATTGTCCAGCATGGTGCCAGCTGAACAAGAACAGGTGTAGCTGCCGTCAGTGTTGACACAAGATGAATGCAGTGTGCACTCATTGTCTGTGTCATTCAGGCATTCATTGATGTCTGTGTTTGCAAGATTATAGAAAATATCTGAATTAGTTATTAATAAATACTATAACATCTTAAAAGTATTATTTTAAAATATTACTTACATTGTAAGCTCATGCTTATTCTTTAATGTTGGATACTTTATTTTTAACAGAACATATTTAAAAATTAAAAATTGGGTTTTATTTTTGTAATTTATAGGCCTATTTGTATAATATAGTCTAAACTGCTATTTAATCAATGAAACATTTTCAAACGTTTTTTTTATTAAGTTTAACTGAATATATTTTCTCAATGTTTAAGAAAGAAGATCATGTGAAAATTCCAACAATTCTAAGAAAGTAAATAATAAATAATTCAAATTAAACTCATTGAATAATGCTAATGTTTTAAGACTACAGAAATATGCTTCACTAGTTACAATAAAAAAACTTTAACTGTTAAAAATTTCAAAAATTAAAGTATGTTGCAAAAACATAAATGATCATATCTAAAAAGTTTTGAATCTAATTATTCCTGATAACCAATTCTACCAAAAAAAAGCATAAAGTAAAGCTATTTTTTATGATAATGTACACTCATTAAAGTAAGACAGAAAATTGCAAGTAGAATGTTTACCTTCACACAGGTTACCTTCCTTTAGTATAAACCCTCTAGGACACAAGCATGTGGCTACTTTACTAGCACTAACACTGCACCCATAGCTGCAGTTTATAGCCATGCCTTGACATGGATCTCTTACTGTAAATTATTCAAAAACAATTGTGTTTATATTGGCAATCTTCTTGATTGACAATATAAATATAATCAATTTATTCCAACACATTCCAGCATATAAACTGCACTTGTAGATGCAGTTTGTTTTTCAATCTTGTCTTGAATCTCTAAATTTTAAGTAGGACTACTCATAATAATACTGTTTTATAATATAATGCTATCAATACAATTGTAAAAATAGTCAGATTATCATGTAATAAGGGCTTTCTTGCTTAAATATAGTTTCAAATTTAAGATAAACAAATTTAGTTTCTAATTATTAAAGCCTTTCAAAAATTAAGTTTAAAATCCTATTTGGTATTCTAGTTAATAACCCCTATACATTCGGTTAAGTAGTAGAATTTAATCTCTCATATTCGGAACAATAAATTTCAAAGATTGGGCAACCTTTGATACATGTGGTCCAGTCCTCAGAGAGATAGTAACCCTGCCAGCACATGCAGTTGTATGAACCAGGTATGTTCTCACAGATATGTTGGCACTTATCTGTTTTCTTCTTGCACTCGTCTATGTCTACAGGTAAAAATAAAAACATTTTGTGTTTTGGCGCTGAGTAAAATGATAAACCAAATGTCATTTGTTTTAGTTGGTTAAAATAGATTTAAAATCTAATATTTTAGCCAATTTGATCTTCTGTTGAAGAAAAAATTTCTAATGGAGAAAAAAAAATAAAGATAAAAAAACTACATAACATATTTTTACTTTAGTTAAATGTAACATAGAACTTCAATCCTAAACATACATTTAAGTTATAAAGTATTTGTAACGCAGTTTATTTAAGTCTGTAGCTTTGACAAGTCTATTCTATTTTCCCTAACTTGAGTCAGAACTATTTAAATTTAATTATACTTTTACATTAAATACTAAAATTATTTAATATTTTAAAAAAAACATCTATAGTATTTTTTAATAGAAATAAAACAACAAACCTTCACAGACATTCTGAGCATTCCTGGCATATCCTGGCTTACATGAACAGCTGTAGTTGCCTACTGTGTTGACACAAACTTCCAAAGTTTTGTCACAAATTGTGTTGGTGTAAATGTCTTTACACTCATCAAAGTCTACAATCAAATATGGAATAATTTAATCAGTGACTTATTACAAAATATGAGATTTTTAAAAACTAATCATTCAGATTAGTATTATTTTGATTAATAATAAATACACAAAAATTATAAGTCCAATTTATTTAGTATAAATAAGTCCAATTTAGAAAGCCATAACAAATAGACTCAGTCTGATCAATGATTACTCTAGAACAAACTAATAATAACTTTTTTATTTATACATGGCATTTAAACAAACTTCATTGTCAGTGGACCTTGTCAGTCATTTTAGAACAATTTAAAAAACTACATCACATTGAATATCTAGTCTAGAATGGTATAATTGTTTGCTCACTCACCCTCCAACCCACTTTTCAACTAAGGTCATTATCACATAGAATGCATTAAAATCAATTTTTAACATGTATTAATAAAATGCAAGTCGCAGTATTCTTACCTACACAGGAACCATTTTCTTTAACAAATCCACTAGGACAATCACAACTGTAAGAGCCAAATGTGTTTTTGCAGACAAACCCTTCAGGGCAGGCGTTGGGTTGTTTGCACTCATCCACATCCAGTTCACAGTTTTTGCCGGTCCAGTTTTTGTCACAGACACAGCCAGTGACTGAGCTACAGTTTCCATGGCCACTGCACTGGCAGATGCTTGAGCAGTTCTCACCATAGTAGGGTTGTTTGCAGGCTGGGATATAGACCAAAAACAATTTTTATTTTTGAAAAATACTGGCTTAAAATTAAATTTCAATTTAAAAAACTCAGAAATGTCATTTTTAATTGTTTTAAAAATGTAAAAAAATATTTTAAAAATTATTTAATAAAAATATGTAGTTTTTTTTTTTTTAAAAATTATAATTTAATTTTAAATACTGACCAAAGAATATATTATCTTTTTTCAAGCTGTGATACAGAGCCTATTATTTTTTTCAAAACATTTATTTAAAATTAAAATATAATTTAAAAATACAAGCAATGAAACCATTTTTCTTTGCTTTCTCTTGTAAAAATAGTGGTAAATATCCTTTTTTAAATTCAAATTATTTTTAAAATAAACAGTATCAACATTATTTATTTATTTTGCAGGCCATGGCATTAAGCAACAATATATTCAAAATATAAAGTATCACATTTTTGTTCTTTGCAAGTATAGTTATATTTAGTTTAGAGAACACTAAATTTTTATTAAGATGTTGACATTTTTATTGTACAAGGTTTTTTCTAATTTATTCTATTTTAGAACTGAATCATTTTATTTTAAAATCAGAATAATCTTTGAAATTGAAATCATAAAATGTTAGGCCAATATTGTGTATATATTTGTAACTTTGTATTTACTCTACCTGTGCATGTCACCCCATCAGTTGCAAGCTTGTATCCAGCATTGCAAGAACATTGGAAAGAGCCTTCAAGATTTGTACAGTTTTGGCTGCATGGTTGGGCTACACTTAAACACTCATTTGTATCTGAAAAAAGTAATTTTTTAAAAATAATAAATTGACAAGATATTTTATTTCCTTGCCAGTATTCATAATCATTTGTGATGCTAGGTGGGGTGTCACCCATAGAGGCACCTTGTGGTGTCACCCCCAAATTAAAAAAAATTATAATATATGTATATATATATATATATATATATATATATATATATATATATATATATATATATATATATATATATATATATATATATATATATATATATATATATATATATGTATATATATATATATATATATATATATATATATTTAAGGCTACGAAGGCTACAAAGGCCTCAAGATATATATATAGCTGTACTTGGTGTCACACTACTCTCATTTTGCCTAATAGCATTTATTTGTTAGAACATTAAATTAATATACCTATTAATTAATGTGGGGAAAAATGCATCATTTTCATAATAAAATTATTAAATTTGGTATCACCCCTAAGTAACTTGCAATTTTTGCCTTGGTGTCACACCCCATAAATCCCCCCCCCCCCCCTCTCCCTCAAGACACCTCTGTTTTATAATTAGAATATTGTATTAAGAGATTTTTACCTATGCAGCTTGAGTTGTCATCTGGATCCACTTCATAACCCAATCTACAACTGCAGGTAACTTGTTCATTGTTGACTTGACAAACTTGTTGACATTGATAGCAGAGCTCTTGGTTTTTAGAGTCTGTAATCAGATTGTTTTAAGTGATAGGGAGAAGAATGAATATTATTTCAGTTGCAATAAGAAAAAACATTTAAAAATTCAACTATTTTAAAAATTCATACCTGGAATCAACAAGTACAAATAGCAATAACGAAAGTGTGTTACGATAGGTGGAAAAGAGAACATGTTAGTTGCAAAGTCCCTTATTAAAGAATGCTTTTAAGGTAAAAATTATATTAATCGGTGATTATTTAAATACTTAAAAATACCTAGCCCATGTTTAAAAGTTCAATTACATTTGCATGCATACAAAAGAACATATTAAAATGAATGCTTTCAACTTATAAAAGAAATCAATACTTGCAAAATTTGCATTAGGTTTAAAACATAAGAATTTGTATGATATCACTACAAATTTGTCTTCTGAACTTTTATCTTCTAGAATTTCAAGATTTTAATACCATTTGCAAGCATTAAGATCTTTGCACTATAAAAAGAATGTACACTTTTTTTTTAAAGTAAGCCCTAAAGGTAATACAAATTTTAATATGATTTTTAATTTCTATAATGCATGACAATTCAAATTAAGACATAGGTTTATGCTAACCAGAGGTGTGAAAACTGGTAGATATTATGAATATAAGCCCACACAGACCAGAATAAATAGTTGCTATTTTGGTCTCTATAACCTATGTTGATGTGAATTTCTGCAATATATCTTTAATTTTTGCCTCAGAACAGGTATAAATTTCATCATAGTTTTAAATTACTATTTTTTTAACTTTTTTCTTTGATCTACATGTTCAACTTTCAAAATCCTACTAATAATAATTTTCTATACTGAATTCAATATCAAATTCAGTACTTGATGCACATGTGAAGCTATTTGTATTTAAAAAAATAAACCTGTTTCCAAGATCATTTCTAAAATGGCTTACATAACCATCTTTTAAAATTTTTAATTTCAATAACATTTTATTTTCTATTTAAATCAAATATTAAAACTCATTACCCATTGTACATGTGAAGCCATTTGTATCCAAAGTATAACCTGGCTGGCAGGAACAAGAGTAGCTGCCCTTGGTGTTGGTGCAATTCTGTTGGCATTTGGATGTTCTTTCAGCACATTCATTGATATCTGTCAAATTAATATATTTTCAATAATTGTTAAGGTAAAAAGAAAATTTAAATATTTATTTTTGTGTGTCTGCTATATCAGTTAATTATTTAAATCAGCTACTATTTGAAAATATATGAGCTAATTGCAATTGATTAATATTGAATTTATGGGCATTAAAATTGAAATTAACTTTATATGGTTTTATAATGAATGATTATAAATATAGTAATTGTATTCTTTCATGTTGTTTTTAATAGTGGTGCAAGTTTCAGGACAAACAGACAGTAAGATAAGGGTTAAAGTATGTACTTTAGTTTGGGCTAATGTTAGTGAGGTTGCTTCCAACAAAAACATGCTATAATTTCACATAGTTTTCAAAAATTTTCAAAAATTTAAATTTAACTAACATGATGATAAAACCAATTCCATGACATTTTCATTCTTTGTTTAAAAAAGTAAAATGTAAAATAATTACCTGAACAGCTTCCTCCATTTTCTAAAACTTGTCTGTAACCAGCTTGACAACTACAAAGGAAAGATCCCTCTGTATTGGTACACACTTGCTCACAAATGGTCTTGTTGCTGCATTCATCAATATCTTTTTTGTGGCAAATACATAAAAATATGTTGTTATTTAATGTATTCAATGTATTCAATGTAGTAAATTTAGTCAATGTATTCACTGTATTCATTGTATTCAATGTATTCTAAGTATTCAATGTATTCAACGTATTCAACATATTCAATACATTCATTGTATTCGATGTCTTCAATGTCTTCAATGTATTCAATGTATTCAATGTATTCAATGTATTCATTATATTCAATTTATTCAATGTATTTAATGTTTTCAATATATTTAATGGTTGCAATATATTCAATATATTCAATGTATACATTTTATTCAATTTATTCAATAACGGTAGCAAAAGTATTACTGTAAGTTAATTCCAATATCAAATATATAAAATATTAACTACTTTAAATAAAGTACATGGCTTTTGTACTGCTACAAGTGAGTAATAATACAATGAATTAATATCATCATCTATTACATTTGTGCTTCTTTAGACACAAGGGTCAGATGAAGTAGAGTTCAACTGTCTCAAAGACCTTGGTATATAAAGTGCAATTAGCACTATACCCAACTAATATGGTTTCCAAAACGTGATTCAGGTACCAATCAGAGCTGGGTGGACTCAGGGATGTCCAACAGACTTGAACTTGAGACTTTAGGGTTAGCAGTTGTAAGCTCTAGCATCAGAAATATAAAATACTAACCAACACATCTGCCATTTAATTTCTTAAATCCTATTGGACAAACACCACATGTGTAACCAATGGTATCATTCCCTTGTTCAGCTGCAGTTAAGTCAGTGCAGTCCTGTCCTTTTGAACATGGTTCATTTGCACAGGCATCAAGTTCTGATTCACAGTCGTCACCTAGCAAATTTAAATACAAAATTAAATCCTTTAAATTTTTGGCTGCAAGTTTTTTTAAATATTAGGCCTATCAAACAAAATCTGCTTTTTTTATTCTAAAATTATATTTCTATTTAAATTAATCTATATACTTAAGGGCTAAAAAAGTAATAACTAATAGATATTGTTTTTATTTAAACATTAATATTCTTAACATTTTCAATTATTAATCAGAACAATCATTTATAAAAAGGCACCTATGTTTCCAAAGACAGCTATGAAAGAAAGTAAAAGAATAAACAGAAATTTAATAAACACTATTTTTTAAATTTCTGAGCTGTTTTTTTTTTTCAAAATTATAATTTACGTAGATCTAGATAGTTTTAGTGTATTGCCAATGGAAACTGATTTTGGTTTTTGAAATAAGCTTAATAAAATGACAAAACAAATTTGATGTTTAATTCATTCTATATAAAAGTATTTAAAACATTTTTGTATCCAAAATGTCTTCTTTTCCTTTCTATCTAAACTGATTTGTTGATCTATGTTTCTAATTGTCTTTTATTTCTTTAAGTTAAATTATATATTTATAATAAATCTATAATTATATTTCAATTATCTGATAAAGAAAACAAAAAAATAATTAAATTAATTTCAAACCTGTCTGGTAAAGAAAACATAGTAGAATTGAATTAATTTCAAACCTGTATAGGCAGGGAAACAATCACAGGTTAATATCTGGAAGCGGCCATTAAAAAACTCTTCCTCCCTTGTGATATCCACATTACAGATGCCATGTCCACTGCATGTTGGACACACTGTCACAGGTATAAAAACCACAGGGGAGTATGCGTCTGCTGAGTCTTTGGCCCTGACCCTAGAAAAAGTTTTAGTTATTAAATAAAATAAATATTAATCATGGAATTAATTCAATTTTCTAGGAGTATAATTGATTTGCCATTGTTTTTTTATGTCAGAGAGTACACTTTTAAAAAGTGGGCAGTTGAAGTAATATGTCTCAGTTTTACTTTACATGAAGTAATATGTATATGTTTTACTAAACTTAGAGAGAGATTAAAAATCAGCATTTGCTGCCTTTAGTCTAACTGAAATCGGATTTCAATTGGAGTTACATTTATTCAGGGAAAGAACTACAGACTCAACCCTAATACTCAATCACAAAACTCATCATAAAAGCAATCAACCTCTCTACAACTCAAATAATGCATTCTTCTTATTTACATTTTATAAAATATAAAGTTTTAACGTTTTACTTACTGAAGAAGTATGGGGTTCTTAGAATCTGGTTTGTATGTGAGCACTCCATCATCGCCAACTATCACATCGCTCACATTGCCAACAATTTCATATGTTATGTTATCGCCATCACCATCTTCAGCAACAAGTTGTATTGTGGACTGAACTCCATGTTGAACCAGCCAGCGACCACTACTGCTTAAACTGCTGTTTCTGACTTGCAATGTGGGTATGTTGTTTGCTGGTAAACACGGGAAATTTGTACTCACCGTGAATATTATTTAACTTATGTAAATAACTGTAGTAATGATACTACTAATATCAAACAACATACAATTCTGAAAACAGGTCAATTTGGTTATTAGTAATATTGTAATCATAGGCTAAGTTTAATGTTCAGAAATATGGATTAAGGCTATGGTATGTCTTGGCTTAAGGCTATAAATAGGATTAACATTAAAAATTAAAAAGCCATGTTTGTGTATTTAGTTTACGACCATAATCTAAGTTGCTTTTTATGGATATTCCATTGAAGTGGCATTATTGGACACAGGTATAACACATACCCCTAAATAAAATTTATTCTTTTATATAAAAAGATAACTCAATTAACTTCAATAAGAGTAAATTCACGTGTTTACTTTTACATAGTTTCAAAATTCTAGCTTCTTCTAACAAAAACAGAAGCGAATAAATAAAGAATAAATTTTAAACCCAAAATTAAAATAGGCTACTTATAAAAACACCAAAAGAGAATTGAGCAGTAAACTCAAACACCACTGATTAGAGTATACAGCAATAACCTGTCAAAGTAAAATTGAAAATGTGGTTTATTAACCAATAAGATTGTAAACATTGTGTAGCACTTTGACTCAATATATCAATAACCATGTTAACAGAATTGGTCTTCCTTTTGTGACTTATAAACTGATCTACCCCTGCACAAAAGTATGTTCCCCCTAGATGTGTCACTAACTAACTGTTAAAGAACTTTTCTATATTTATTGTTATAATGGGAATTATGTACATTCCTATTCAAAACTATCTGTTCTTACCTTAATCCTATACAAATAATACTATCCAGTTTTACAAATTAATCCATTCTCTCCTAAACTCATAAACAAGACTATTCTTACCTAAGCTTTTATGCAAAGCTTGCATCTCTTCACTGAATTCTTTAGTACTTTCAGCAAATGCCACGTCACCAGTGGCCATGAAATCAAAGATACAAGCATCATTGTCCCCACAAATTTCCTTGGCTTTATCAACTTCAGCTGGGTCTGCTTCATCTCTGAACATGGGAATGAACTCTGGATGTTGGTAACTGCTGGTGCTTTCCCCTTCCTTGTAAGAAAATACACTTGTAGCTGTCGTGACCACCCCTAAAATTGCGCAGGTAGAGAATAAGACTATTATTTCACAAAAAGGGCATGCACTAAAAATTGTATGCATTAAATGATGTTGCATTGATTTCTGTGTATAGTTCATATTGTCGTATCAATAAATGCATGGTTGGGTTTAGTGTTTTTTTAAACGTATAATATTAAGTAAGTCACTTTCATAACATAGACTTCAGACCTAGATCTAGAATCTAGAACTAGATCTAGATCTAGATCTATATCAGATAATATATCACTATATCAAAATTACTGAAACTTCATCATCGATTAGAAAAGGGTGGCTAATTGCTAACTGCTTCAAGGAATTTTTTTTAACATTTCTGTTTCATGAATAATGAAAGGCCTGTCAAAAAATAATTAATCTTTTACACATTTTTCAATGTTATTGTTTTATATGGATTTTCTGTTCTTAATGGCTGCATATGACATCATAAAAGCTTTCATTTATAAAAAAAATAGAAAAGCAGATATTTACATGCTTGAGAAAATTGTTGGAATAATTCTCTCTCAGTCAAATTTGCTGATAAAACAACCCCATCTGGAAGGATGAATTCATCTGTCATGTTGCCATTGAAATTTCCCAGAAGACCCTTTGTTTCACCCTGTAGATCTATAGGTACTTCGGTAACAATTGTAAGGCTTCTCACTGCTACATGTACTTGAATTGTTACACCTGTAGTTTTAAACAAAGTTTAGTTATGTTAATGTATATAGATTTATCATGTATGCTCATGTCATATACACAGATATACTACACTAATTCCTTATTAGAATTTTGTGTGTGCTTAAATTGATATTTTTAACAAACAACATTATTATTATTATCTTAATTAATATAAATAGAATTTTTTTTGTACAGTTGCTTATACATTAGTTTCTATAAATTTTAATCTTATCAACCAATACTTAGCAATAACACACAAATAATTAGAGAAGAAATGTTCTTAATGTAGAAATAGTTTTTTTTTTAAATTTAAAAATATCTTTATAAGGTTGTAATTGTAATACGTCTAATAAGGCCACATTTTCTATTTTGTTTTGAGACAGCTCTCGTTTAAAAGTAATTATATTGGAATAATTGATTTACATATTTAAAAATAAGGCATTTTTAAGCCTAAATTAAAGACAATTATCTTCTAATCCTCATTATGACATTTTAAACGTTAATAAACAAAATCTTGTTAGAAATAATCAAGAATGATTACAGATTTTCTAAACAATCTTATATAAAATTTTAAATAACAAAAACATATCATACCACAAACAAAGGTGACAACAGCTACTGTTCTGTTCATTTTAATTTCTCTTGTGACTTGCAGAGATGTAGTGGAGACAATATGATCATCCTCATTACTGTAGAAGTCAGCAGTGATGTCAATGCCATTGACTGACAGTTCCATCGCTACATTATGTTTCAAAGAAAAATGGTATGCATAAACTGTGAATAATTTGATTTTATTATAAATTTGTTTTAAATTTTAATTTAAAAAAATTAAAATGAACATATTTCTTTAAAGCCATTCTGTTAAATTTTAAATATCTTTTATTGTTATTATCAGTACTTAAAATAACACCAGTAGTGTTATATTTCTGAACCAAAATGCCACATAAAATGTTGCTTTAGTTGCTGTAATAACATAACTAAACAGCCAAACTTATTTGCCTAACTGCTAAAGATTGTGATGTTTGTGTTATCATTTTCACCAACAAATTTGGTCAACATTTTTTTTTATAATGCATCATACAAAAAGTAATGTTAACAATATAACGCTAATAACAAAACACAGTTGGCCAATTAAATACATCTAACGTTGAACTATTTAATTGCTTTGAATGCTTATAAACATACTTTTATTGGAGGTTGAAAGCAAAATTTGAACAGTTGTCTCATTTGATTCCTTAGCAGCAAAGCCAGTGAAAACAGTTGCATTGGTGAGTGTCCCATTGATATCTACTGTCCTCTCTGTCCTAGCCTATATATAAATGACAATTCATTTCAAGGTAGAGATCATCACAACATAAATCTTGGTATTTTTTTCTAACAAAATATAATGTTTTTGAAATATGTTTGGGTGCCTAACTTATGTTAGGGAAAGTAAAGGCAGCCGGGCATAATCTTTTTATTTATTCCTAACAAAATGTAATTTATTTGAAAAATGGTTGGGTGCCTAACTCATATAAGGGAAAGTAAAGGCAGCTGGGCATAGTGCTGACCGCACTATTCTTTCATAGGCTGAGGCTACTTAAACATGTGAACTTTACTTCACCTGCTCTATAGACTGTAAAGTTTGAAAGGATAGGCCCTACTTAACTATTTCTTTCTCTTGTTAAAAAATTGTTGGTGGTTTTTAGTTTATTATTAATTGTTTTTCCTTCCAATTTCTATCACCGCTTGTGAGTTAATTTACAGTTAAAAATACTGTCTATATTTTTATTTGGTTTATCAATAGCACAATGCTGTGCATTCTATCATAAATTCCAAATAAATGTAATGAAAAATATAATTAATATAAAAGTATTAGGTCTGCATTTAAAAATAGTAAATTTTACCTCTTATCATTTTAACAAATCTTCTATTATAGAAATGGACTTACACTTTATTACAATGATAGGTTGGCATTTATACACATAGTGATATTAGTTATTAGTTTTGTGTATTTAATAAATACTGATATTATTTAATAAATACTGATCAGACTGGTGCTATACAACAGTGAGAATGCTGACTGTAAGAAATGTATTTCTACCTGCAGTGTAAAATTTTCACTGGGTATTTCCATCAGGTGGTACTCTCCCCATCCATTCATAGCATAGGTTACACCATCCAGTGTTGTGATGGATGGGTCACCCAATGCAGATACTGTAATTTTTCAAAATTTTAAAATTAAGTATTTAAACACAGAAAACAATTATCAGTTCTTCTTTTTCTTCACCATTATTTCTAAGGTTGGAAGGGATTTCTTACAAAACTATTAAGTATTACATGTAAATTTATTAAGTGCCATGCAGTCCATTGACTACAATTTTAGCTTTTTAGATCTGCGTCAATAGCATTTGTTTAACTGAGAACAAACTACAAGACAGCAGTTGTTTGATTTTGGAGTTTTCTCTCTTAGACGGGTTGCTTCCTCTTCCCATGGGTTTAAGCTGTCGACTTTTCAAGCATCAGTTAATAAAAGAGTTCTAAATAACTAAAATGTATGCGGTATTATTTTCTTTTAGTTTCCTTTAATCAACAAAAATCTAATACAAAGTAAAAAGAATGCAATACAATTTTAAATTCAGTAAAGCAGTTCAAAGTATTTTAAAATTCTGCTGTATAATTCACCATTTACTATAGAATTATTTTAAAAAATATAACAAAAAGTCAAATAAAGTTTAGAATAAAAAATGCACTCACTGGGGACCCACTCTACAAAGAAAGAGCAGCCTTTGTCTGAGAAAATATGATAGAACCAGTCACAATATTTGGTCTTGCTGGAATTTTTACAGCACCTGTCCTTTGCTTGCAGATTCTCCCAGAGTTCAAGATTTTCACTATAAATTTGGGACCAAGGATCACTGGTTAATATGTGGCCTGATTCAGGAGAAGGGGGTATGTATGTGGCCTCTTGCTGGAGCTTTAGATAAGTTTTCCACTCAAAGTTCTCTGGTTCTGTCACTTTATAGCAGCATAGCTGTATGATTTATAAATATTTAGACAAGCATCATCTTTTTGATTTTTCAACTATGTTATATATTTTTAAACATTATTAAAAATGTGATTTATAAACTTTGTAAAAAATATATTTTTATTATAATTTTAAAAGAATATAATTTAAGGTTTTGAACTAACTAAAATGTAATTTTTAAATGCTTTATTTAACTCAAATGTAGTACTATGTTTCTAGAAAGAAAGAACATCAAACTAAATGAGTCTCATTTAACAGAGAATGTAAGCAACAATAGTCAAATATGTTCACAGTTAGTTTAAATTATTATTTCCCTTCAATTTTAATTTTATTTAAAACATCAGGAAGTGTTTTTATATATAATATTTATATACATCTTATACAATAATTACCATGTTTACTGTTTGTTTAAATTATTATTTCCCTTCAATTTATAATTATATTAAAATAACAGGAGGTTTTGTTATACATAATATTCATATACTTCTTATACAATAATTACCATGTTTACTGTGTGTTTAAATTACTATTTCTCTTTAGTTTAACAGGAATAATAGGAATTGTTGTTATATATAATATTCATATACATCTCATACAATAATTATCATGTTTACTGTGTGTTTAAATTACTATTTCTGTTCAATTTAACAGGAGTTGTTTTTATATATAATATTCATATACATCTTATAAACTAATTACCATGTTCATATTATTTTGTGACAACAGCCTCCTTTTAGCCACTTCACTGATGACGTAGCAATGAATGTCCTTATTATCTCCTCTTTTCTCATAGAGCCGCCACTGATGTCCAAGCCTCTGTACAGTACATGGACATTTATACAGCTTGTCTTTTTTGTATTGGAACACAGGGTCGGAGAGAAGGTAGGCTTTTGTGTAGATGTATTGGTTACATTTGGTATCACTGTTTGACACCTCGCCAATTTTGACAGTGTTGACTCCATTATAACCTGAAATAGTGATCAATTGCATTATGGTGATGTAAACTATTTAATAGAAAAATATGTTTTATGTATCATACACTTGATGAATGTATTTTTATGTTCAGGCAAAAATATCACTGAAATAAATGATGTTGTCTATATTTAAATTTAAAATGTTAAAACACCAATTTTTAAAATAATTTTTTAAAATCAATTTGCTTTTTTCCAGTAAAACAAACAGTTGAAAGTTAAAATATTATATAACTATAATGTAACTAATATTCTAATAACAGTGTTTCTTATGGTTTTTCCTTTCCATTTATTTTTGACTGCAGTTTGCAAAAAAAAAAAATTTAAGTGAAAAATTATCAACAACCACTAAAGTACCAGTACCAGTATTTCCAGGGATTTTGTCCAAGCTAGTCACAATTTCAGTGTCCAAATCATCAAAAACTTTTTTATTGTTACTAGCCCCTATGCTAATAGGTCTCCCTTTTTGGTAGTTCCAATTCATCTTTTCTTGTTGGTAAATGAAGATGGCGTACGAAGTCTCAAAGTCTGTTTTGGTATTTTATATTTCAATAGACAAGATTAAAAAGTAAAACATTTCTTAATAGGCAGTGAAAAATACATTAAAAGTATAATTGATTTAGTAATTAATGAAAAAGTAAAACGTATTTTATAAATATCCATATAAAAATTTAAAACAAAAGTTGAAATAATATATATATAATGCTTTACCTAGGAATGTATCTCTTCCATTTTTGTTAACTGTTTCCCATCCACTGACATAAATTGCTTGAATGGTATTTGTTTTGTTTTCCTGGTGTGTTAAGTAAATACATTGTTTAAATTATTTTTAATAATTAAAACACAGCTAACTGTGCAAATAATATCCTTATTTCTTTTTCCTTTAAAATCATATTAGTCACATTTCTTGCAAGGGGGAAAAATGGTAATGATTCACTTTGGCTTTTAAGCTGCTAATTTTACTTGTGTTTTTTAAGGCAGGTGAAATTACTACACTTTCGGCTTAAAATCTACAGCTCATGTTTTTCTTTTGTATAGTGATTGTAAATGCAATTGCAATTCACTTCATTTTGAACTGACAAATTTTATGTATGAACAAGAGGTCTAATAACTTCTCATTAGAAAAACTGAAATTTTAAAGCTAGAAATGTATGTGTAGTATGGTCTGTAGTTAACACAAGTGCAATGACTAGCCCACCTTAAAATGTGATTCTTAAGTAAAGGCATCTTGTTTGTAAATAAAGAGATGCATGTTTAAATCTGACATAATTAAAATGAAATAATAATTTCCCTTATCACAAATCCCAACCTAACAACAATAATTAATTGTTACATGTCATCCTGCTATGTGCCATATATGATGTTTACTATAATTTCAGCCTGTTTTTCTTTTTTGGATTTTCAACCATGAGCTTTACCCACCCAACCACACTAAACTCACTAATTTCCACAATCTTCTAAAATCATGCATCCAAAAATATCTCGGCAAATTAATATAAAGAAGGATATCATTATCACCTACACAACTCTCTAATTATAATTACAATCATTAAGACTATCCCAACACTAGTTTCCCCTTACCAAAAATCAATAATGTTGTCCCCTAAACTAACTTCCCATTACCAAGAATAATTAAGACTGTCCCTTATACTAAGTTTTTTCCTTACAAACAATCCATAAGGCTGTCCACAACCCTAATTTCCCCTTACCATAAACATATAAGTCTGTATCTTTTTACTTATTTCCCTTTACCAATTAAGACTGTCCCTGAACTAACTTCTCTTTACCAACAATCCATAAGACTGTCCCTTATACTAATTTCCACTTACCAAAAATCCAAAAGGCTGAACATTCTCCCATGTTATCACCAACACCTTGGTGACACCAAACCCATACAGAGAATAGAATTCCATTATATCTTTAGTGGCTCTCTCCAGGACAGTGTTCCTCTGGGGGGATCCCTTTTCATCAGGTTCCCACAACAGGCTTCCACTTTTTTCATAGACATGATAGTAAGTTTTCCCTTTTTTAAATAATATCAATACATGTAATTTGAATCAGAAAACTTTTTTTAAGTATGCAGTTAACAATGACAAACACGTTTATAGAAAGTAAATAGAATGTTTTATGTTTTATTCTTACATATCCAGCTTTAAAAATTAAAATCTTAAACTAAGGCAATGGTTAACAGTCCAAAGCTTTCCAAGCAGTTCAATTCATTACTTAGAAAAAAAATATATTTAATGGAACATCTTTAAACCTTTTGTGGTATCCATATCTGCCCAGTATGGTGCTACTAAATTTTGCCCTTGTTGATTTGCCAAATCAAGATCAGAAAATCCACTGATCTTCATGGGCTTTGATCCAAAACCAAAAACACCATTTGACATCACCTAAAAAGAAACAGTTATCAATAGTTTAGCTTTCTTTTCAAGTTTTAGTCTACATGCAATACAGGCTAGACCAGGGGTCTCCAAACTACGGCCCGCGGGCCGCACCCGGCCCGCGAGGTCCTCTCATCCGGCCCGCGTAGATCTTTTTGTCCATGGAAAAAATGTTTGTTGGTGATGGCTGAGGAACTTTGCTAAGAAAAATCACATGTCTGGAAGAAACTGGCCCCCGAACTGAAATTTGATAGTTAAGGTGGCCCTCGGACTGAAAAGTTTGGAGACCCCTGGGCTAGACAAATATTTATAAATTCTGATACTATATTGTGACTAAATATATAGAAAGTGTGAATTAGAATAAAATCAAAATCTACATTGATTAATTGACTTAGCAAAACTATTTATATATACCTTAGGTGGTCTATAATGAAGGCTACAAATGTAGAAGAATAAACTTACATAAGCCGCAGGTTGTGCATTACCACTGAATGGTGCTGCTGACTCAAAGTAGATTGGTTCACTGATTAGGTAGGACTGAAGATCTGTGGCACTGTTGTTGAGTAAAGAATCCTTGGCCATTTCTCCATAGGGATAGTAAGGAACTAGAGTTCAAATCAAAACATTATTAAATATTATTGAAATGAATTTCTCATTTTTCAGACAACATTAATTTTCAAAATATATTAATAGAACTTGTTGGAGTATTTAAAATATATATAGTGTTAAATGGAATTTTTTAAAAATTTAAATTTAATTATTATTTAGTTTTAATTAATTACTAATTTATTGTAAATACAGTAGTTTTTCTTTCAATACTAAAGTAGGCTGATATAGGTGTAAGGGGCTGGGGAGTTATTTAATTATTATTTTATTACAAAAAGGTAAGTGTCACTTTTTGTGTTCCTTTGAGGATTATTGTGGTTTTTAGTTAAGTAGTCCGCTATTATGGCGCTGATATGATTTTGATTTTACAATGGTTTGTAGCCTGGTTATTGTGTCTTGTTTATATTTTAATGTTATTATTTATGCAAACTTTGTTTTGGATTGTTGCTCCACTTTGCTTTATGTCCTGAATGTTAGTTATTGTTGGATTAGGGACTATTTTCTTTTGCGTAGAATTGTTTTTTTTGTTCGTGAATGTGGTGTGTGGACAGGGAGGGACATTCAGCGGTAATGTCGAGGCCTGTGTGTTGAAGTGTTTCTGTATCACATTTATGTGGTGTATGGTAAAGTAGAGCTATCTTTATACTGTTTTATTATGGTTTCCTTTTAATGGTTTTCTTATTTTATATACGAAGTGACTACGTACTATTTAGTCACTTCGACTTTGAGAAATCTCAATGGTTGATGTATCTAGACCACGTGGTAGTATGGTGGTCTGGGTTTAGATTTTAGTCATGGATCTAGAGAATCTAGAATCTATCTCTAGATTTTACTTACATATTTTATGAGAACCTCTTGTTGAGGCTGATTATTGTGTGCCTTGAACTAGTAGTTTTATGCTCAGTGACCTGATATTTACGTTTAAGTGTGTTCTTTGTACTACTTTCATTTGAAAGTTCATTTTGTATAATATCCATTTTATTTTCAATTGTGTCAACTTAGTGCCTTGTGTATAACTTTTTTTGTAAAGTAATTAATTTATTTGTTTTCCTTTTTCTAGGACGTAGTCCGAAATTGGGTGTTTGGTTTTGTTTGGTTTTGTTTGGTTCTGTTTTATTGCAAATAGTGTTTGTCCTGTTGTGTTGGATATAAATTATTTTTTCTGTTTTGCGTCAGTAGTTTTTATCTATTCTTCTTTTTTTGTGATTTTCCTTTGGTTCCATATTTTTGGTAAATAAATTTTATTATATTGTTAAAGTTTTTGTTTTATTTTTTAGTAGTTTAATTATTTAGACTAAGGTTAGGTTGTTAACCAGTCTGGGTTTAGCCGGGCTTGCACTAACCGGACAGTAGTTAGTTAGATAAGCCTAGTAGGGTAGATTTTAGGTATCCCCCCTAGCAGGGCTTACATAGGTTAAAGATATTTTTAAATCTATACAAATATAAAAATATCAGATACAGGTAAAAAAAATCAATGATCTCATACTTATAAAACAAGTAGGCTATAATTTATAATTGACTAGAAGACGTAGGCCTAGATATGACAATGGTATAAAAGCCTTACCAACACAGTACTGCTGTGTGCTGTTATCAAGTACTAAGCCCTCAGGACAGGTGCAAACCTCCACACCAACACTTTTAATGTAGCAACCATGGGAACATTTTTTGATGACACACTCCTTGCTTGCTACAATCAATCAAGGCAGGGTATATGGTAAAAAAAATGTAATCAGCAGTAAATTTAATCAAGCAGAGTTTGCTACCCTCCCTTCTCAAAATGTATAAATGCTTTTATTTAGCCTTTTACAATACATTTAAATGTATTTTGGAATTTTTGTTAAAAAAATATGATGTTATCATCTTAGTGTCAAATCTATTTGTAATATACGCTCAATATTTTATTTTTAATTTAAAAAGTTTTTTTTTAATAAATACTGTTAATTATCATGTCATGTTTGCCTGTCGTCCCTACTAGGACATAGGCTGCTGTTAATACAAATAAATATTTGTTGTTTGTCTGTTATTCATGTTAGATGTCTTTTATGAATTATTAAATGAAACAACTAAAAGATAATTTTAAAGATAACTATTATGTTAAAACTTTTTAGATTTGTACTTAAGTATGCATGTAGATATTGCAGTAAAATATCTTTGAAATTACCTTCACATGTCTGAGTTGCTTTTTTCATCACATACCCAAGGTGACAGACACAGCTATAGCTACCAACTGTATTGGAACAGTTAGAGTTCGGAGGGCAATACTTGTTGTTTGTACCAAGACATTCGTTGACATCAAGTGAACAGTCACTGCCGGTCCAACCCTGTTTACAGACACACATGCCGCTGATGTTGTCGCAATACTGCGAGTTCTCTTTTACACATCTGCACTTAGTGTCACATAAACTGGTCCCGTAATAGAAACTGGGACATACTTAAAAAATAAAGATAAACGTATTAATAAATTTTGTTTTTCGTAAGTCTATAATGAAGTAATTAAGAAAACACTTATAAATTGTATTTCATAATACATAAAATATATAAGGATTTATAATATATATATGAATGGGCTATATATGCCATAAATGAATGTACATGTATAGTTTCTTATATATACTTATTGAGAATAACAATGAACATTCATTGTCTTTTATACCATGCGAAATATAGGTCCCAGTAAAATATCCATGGAAATCATAATATGTGTACTCATTTTTATAAACAATAGTCATTTTATTCTTTCTGGTTCGAAGTATATCTGGAATGGTTTGACAGTATCTTCCTATTAGTCTGCCAGTTGTGTTTCCATCATAGACTTCAAAATAAGCAGATGTGCATTTGGCATCAGAATATATTCGGTAACTAGATATCCTGTAAGTTGAGTGCAAAATTAAAGACATGATAAGTTTTGAGTAAATTTCACTTGCACATCATTCCTATTTCACACGAATGTTAAATGTTATAAGGTAGTTAAATCAATTTCATATAAAAAATAAAAACTAATGTTTTTTATAATAATTTTTGTTTTTATAAAATACGCAACATATCACTAATTTTTTCGTCTTGCATTTTACAGTAATTTATATTTTGTCCACAGAAAATCTTAATCTATAGCCTACCTAAATGTCTTAAATGATGTTGTGAATGTAAATTGATTGCAATAGGCCTAAGTATTTTAAATTTAAATATCATTTTTAAATAAGTAGGCCCATAATAGTTTAATGTGCACAAGCAATAATTTTTTTTTTTTTCAAATTAGACTGAGCAACTGACAAAAAAAATGTTTAAATATGAATAGGCCCAGTAAAGATAATTTTAATAATTTTCTTTAGAGATCTTGCCTGAGAGAGACAACCTGCTTGGTGTCTACAGTAATATCCCAGATGCAGTTCGCATTTCTAAACTGCTGGTAAGTAGGATTAGGGCTAGTTATAGTACCCGTTGAATTCGTTAATTTGAAAGCACAGCCTGAAAAAAATTGTTAATTTGTATCTTAATATTCATTACCTGGGTAGCTAACAATGTAAAACACAATAGTCTAATCTTATCAATGAAATATTACATTTGATCATTCGTGATTATTGTTTAACGTCTGGAAAAACTCATGTGAATTTTTTTTTCATAAAAAACGTTTTAATAACAAGCTTTTATGTACTACTGCACTAAAAAGTAGGACATAAATTATAGACTACTATTTAAATAACTATAAAGAAAAGCGTGGGTCACTTTAGTGTCTATTGGATACCTTTACTAATATTTAGGAAGAGATCCACGCTTTTTTATAGTTATTTAAATAGTAGTCTATAATTTGTTTTCTACTTTTTAGTGCATTAGTACATAAAGGTTGTTATTTAAACATTTTTTATGAATTTTTTTAGTACTGCACATTTTTTTTAATTTTCAATAGAGTTTCATGACTAAAAACCATTGCGCAGCTATTGAACGTGACGACGCGATTTTGCCGTGATGACGCGTGTGGATAGACATGTCGAAATTGTAATTAATTAATAAAAAATTAATTCGGCATCTAATTAAGTCAAATTTAATGTCACGATGCATTGTCTTCATGTTTTGACCCACGTTCCAAATATGAACCGTATCTGTTAAGTAGAAGTGCCTGCAATTTCGCTCCGGCGTTTCGATCTAGACTGATGAGGAAGTGAGTTAAATACAAGCATGTAAAAAGAGTTACCAATGTGATTTTTAGTATTTGAATGCGTAAAGTTCCCCGTCCAAGACTGACGGCATATATAGGGCAAATCTTCTTCTTCTTCGTTTTTAATTTTTAGTGTTTGAACTCGAGACTTTTTCGAACTTATCAACCATGAGCTTTTGCCGACTCGACTACGCCTGGTTATGTGTCATTGAGGCCATTGTCTTCAATTTCAGCTTGCTTTTCTTTTTGAATTTGCTTCCAAAGCCTTTGTCAACCAAGAACAAACTACAAGGCAGCAGTTGTTTGATTTTGGAGTTGTCTCTCTATGGGGCAAATGAAGTAGCCTACAGTTCACCTGTTTCTGCGACCTCGGCATTTGAAGGGATAGTGTGGTCAGCACTATGCCCAGCCAACTCTACTTTCCATAACGTGAGTTAGGTACCCATCAGAGTTGGGTGGACTCAGGGACGGTCTACTGACATGAACCCGGATTCAAACTCAAGACATACGGGTTAGCAGTCTATCTCATTTAAATGTGTACCATAATGCGTATAATAAGAGACAGATAATCGTTGCGAGAAGGGGTTAGCTTACAATACTTTATGGTAGAGTTGTAAACTAATCTGAAAATAAGCCTTACTATTAAAAAATACATAACAAATAGACCAACTTTCTTCTGGTTAAATAAATTGTAGAAACAAAAATAAATAAACTGCTTTCTTTTTTAAACAGATTGTCGTATCTAGATCTATATATAGAGTTTACGTTACTCCATGTTTTGTATATCTTTTTCTTAGAGTTATCTGTATTATAATTGTAGCCTAACTAGCCATCCCAGCCAGGTCCTGCACTGGCCTCCGTGAAAAACATATCTTTGAAGGACCGTGACTTATGTGTTTATTAAGAAGTATATACCCGGCATTTCCCGGGTTTAGGAAATACATTTCTTTTCCATATAGCCCGTTGCAACTATAAACTTTTGAAAAAAATATCACATAACACATAACCCTAAACCTAACTCTAAACTAAACCCTAACCAAAAACAACCAAAAACCCAAACGTAACACAAACGCAAATAGGCCTACATACATACAGAGACACAGAGTCCATTTTATCTTCATACATTAGAAAGAGTAGTATTGCTGAAGGTTAAAAGACGCTGGATGAATAATATAATCATAATGTAAAATTTAAAAAAAAAACATCTTTACCAAGCTGTGGACAGCTTCCGTTTTTAGATTCATAGTAGCCATATCTATAGTCGCAGTCACATTTGTATCCGCCATATGTATTTGTGCAAGTTGTATTTTCGGGGCAAGTGTAGGTCCCACGGAAACATTCGTCGACATCAGCATTACAGTCTGAACCCTCAAATGTTGGTTTGCAGTTACAATAGCCTTGCCTTGTGTTACAGCTGAGGCTGTTGTTGCGGACACAGGAACATTGCCGTAAACAATCGGGTCCATATCTAAAGTTTTTGCAGTCTGTGGAAACATATTGCAATATGTAAACTGACAACGCTATTTATATTTCATTTGTCTTTTTAACTGAAACTCAAGTTATTGTGTTTCCATTAAACAAAGTACAACTTCCTGTTACTATCGATCTTTTAAACAAGCACATACAATCAAATACTTTATCATTAATTTAATTTTGCCCACCTAACTTAAACGGCATTCTAGTTATCGTGTTTACAGACATACACAGAGACAATTTTTTTTTAAATTCGACTCAGTAATATGCATGACTTTTTGTCAAAATTTCTTCCTCTGTACTCGGTTTACGGGAAAGTAAAATGCTGTTGTTGGTTCCCAAAAAAATGCGCAAACGGAAAACTACGCAACGGAAAATGCGCAAATGCCATCTAATTATACTTATGCACTTCAATTTTGTCATATTTCATGGAAAAGTGTCTTATTATGTTACTATGTACATGTGGTAGTTTTTTTACCGTTGAGCATCTTTCCTGTCACCGAAAAAATGTATACAAACTTATGTCGGTCGAAAAAATGAAAAATCAACCGGGTGCCGCAATGAGCCGCTACGCCTATGTAGAGATTAAACATATTGAAAATGGGTCTGACTTTTAGCTAAGTGTCACAAATGACATATCATCTAGTCAACACTTATAAACATACCGACACACGTATTGCCGTCATCATCTACTTCCTTGCCGATAGGGCAGTAACATATCGCTGTCAGTTGACGAGTGGTAATGGGCGTGATGCTAACACACACATGAGAACAATTTCTTGTCGAAGTCGCAGTGCAAACTGCATTTGCCATCACTGTAAACAGAGTTTATATTTTTTTTAAATGCATAAAAAACGTTTTGATATTCGCTATTATGTAATACTGCTCCAATAAGGAGAAAATAAATGTTTTTTCTTTAAATATATAAAGATACACTACTATTTAAATAATTATATAGAAAAACGTGATCAGTTGGATAACTTTACTAGTATTTAGGAAGAGACTTACGCTTTTCTTTATAGTTATTTAAATAATAGTTTAAAATTATATATTTAATGAAAATCAGTTATTTTCTCCTTTTTAGTGAATTATTACAAAAAAGCTTGTAATTAAAACGTTTTCAGAGAACGCAATAGAATGTATAGACAAAGTATATACTTTAACCAATCTCCCCCCCCCCCCCCCACACACACAGATATTGAAATCGGACCCCAACCGGAAAGTTTATTCCCCCCCCCTTTCCGTAAAGATTCAAGAGAAAAAATCTGAAAGAAACACTGGTCGGTGTACATAAAGTTTTTAAAACGTTCAACTCGACCTACCGACGCATGCACCGTTAACCATCTGCATGCCTTCCTTGCATTCACACCGGAAACTGCCTGGCGTGTTGATGCAGTTTGAGTAGTCTGGGCACGCCAACGGGTCGTTGCACTCGTCTATGTCTTGAGAACAGTATGTAGATGACCATCCCGGCTTACAGTTACACGCCCCCGTAGTGCTGACACAGGACTGTGTGTTAGATTTAACACAGGAACACGGCGTCGAGCAGTTGAAATCATAGTAGTCTTCTGGGCAGTCTGAAATTATTTTTAAAATTCTTTTAGAGTGGGGAAAACTTTTAGATACAACATAATTCCGGCGTGACTAGAGACACACAGTAGCATAATAAAACACTTAACCACGAAATATGACGAAATAAAAGTGTATTAGTATAATTATTGTATTTGCAGTTTTTCGTTGCGCAGTTTTCTTTTACACATAACCTCATGTGAAATGTGTATAATTCTACGATCTTCAATTGTCTTTCTCTTCTTTTTTGTTTTAACTATATTGTTGGAAGTGTTTCCATCCAACACAATTATGTATTACGTGTCAACTTTTTATGCGCCATTTAGGCCGTTGACTCCTACTGGGGTTCGATCTCGATGGTGAATAATGACAAAATAGACCATGATTTTCAGGAACAGCACATTAAAGACAGCGTTAAAAAAATAAAATTAAAAAAAAAAAACTGTGAAAAGGGTTTTTGTAAGAGATAGATAAACAGAAAGAAAAAAATACTTTACAAAGATATCAGAATACATAAAATCTTACGACTATTTCGCCTGTATGCTTTGCCTTTAAAAAAGAAAAGTAAAATATAATATACCGTGCACCAAATATTTTGCTAAAAATGTAGGTGAATTCCGGTTGTATGATCCCTTCTGTAGTCTAATAGACACTTCTGTGCTAGTTGTTCTGATCACACGACTCCAAGAGTCATAGTACACAACGTTGTCAAAGAGTACTGAGTTCGAGCCACTTCCAGAGTAAAACTGGATAGAATCAGAATCATACCAGTACGCCGTCCAGCTTAGAAGTCTGAAAATAAAGTGCTGCTTAAATCATCCTTATATATACATACATGTATAAACATACATGTATATATATATATATATATATATATATATATATATATATATATATATATATTAGCGTTCCCATCCCCGTGCGTTGCCGTGGTCTCAGTAGAAAGTCCGACGCAATATTTTAAGAGAATTTCATCAATGTGTTGCCTATCCTAATTCTTAGACATGTGACCATGTTACCTATCTCAAGTGCACACGGTTACGGTGCCGCAGTGGCTGTTTTCTAAAAATGAGTTACGTAAATGTAAACACTACCTGCGCTTGGAGTATATTTTTCGGTGCACTGGTTTACTACACTAGCACCCAGCACGCCTCTTGAAAGCTAATCACTCACAGAAATATCACCGTTAATCACTCACCGCCTAGCTCTCAGGGACGTATACAGGTGCTCTTGGGAGCGTCAGATTACACTACCGCAGGGACGTCGCGTACCACCACTGGCTTGTTTCAGTAGTCGAATGTCGTGTGCCACCGTGTCAATATTGTAGGTTTTCTTTAAAACGAACGCAGGCGCCATATTGCACCCTGTTTTGATTTAGTTAACAACTATAATGCCCCATCTTTTCCGTAGTCTATCGCACTGTTTAAAACGAGCCTAGGCGTCATAGCGCTCACGGAAAAGCTTCGTGTCACGCAATCGTAATGTATTGTCTCGGGAGTATTCTCATCGATTACCCAAAGTTTCATGGCAATTGGACGAACGGTGTCAAACCGCATCTGACTTCTATTTTTATATACTGTATTTAGCGAAATATCGCGCCCTCCTGGGGTGCCGCCCATGTGAAATTAAAAAAAGATTTTTGTGCAGAAACCTCGCATGGAGTTTTCTTATCAACTCCCTAACGTCTCATGGCGATCGGAAGAACGGTGTTGAACCTCAATCGATTTTTATTTTTATGTACCGTATATAGAGAAGAATCGAAACCCGCCCTGGAGTAATCTTATCAACTGCTCAAAGTTTAATGGCTATCGGATGAAAGGTGTAGTAATTCAAAAAAGGACAAACTCACGCTTATACTTTCACTTTTATATAAATAGTTAACAGATTTTATAAACTACACTTAGACATACTGAATGGAGATGACTTTTCCAGGAGTCCCCTTAATTGTCCAATTACAAAGCTGAATGGAAGTGTGTGCTTCTAAGTAGCGACCCGAGTCAATCTGCCCAGATTCATTGTTGAAAACCTCTCCACAGTCTGAAGTAGATAACAATTAGTGTTTGAAGTATGCAAACGTGGATTATTAAAAAAAACACAACGAGAAATTATTAGTCAAACACAATGAGAAGAGTGGTTTTTTTTTCTTTTATTTGATGTTCAATCAATATTAAAATTTTTAACTAAAGTATGTTTTTTGTTTGTGTGTCACATGCATAAGTATATGTATATGTATATCCATATGTATGTGTACATGCATGTGTATTTGTATGTGTTTGCGTATGTGTCTGTGTGCATGTGCATCTGTATATTTAGGCCTATATGTTTAATTCATAGTATAACCATATGAAAAAGCATTCATTAATTAAAACAAAACAATTACCTCCACACAGGGTTGTGTTGATGACACGATATCCCGGCACACAAAGACACTCATAGGATCCAACCAAATTCCTACAGATGCTATGGTCATGCGTGCATGGGGACTTTGAGAAGCCGCATTCGTTGACGTCTTCAGAGCAGGTAGGCGAGGTCCACTCCGGCTTACAGTTACACAAGCC